TAATGGAGCGCTAATTAGTCGCTGTGCGTTTAAATGAATAAATCTAGTACTTGCCATTGTGCTAAAAAAAGAAATAAAATTCTTGGCAGAGGATGCTACTTTTTATACGCTTTTCGAACAATGTTTCGACAAATTACGACCTCGAAATGTCAAAGTTAAGGCTATGATACATATAAAAATACAGTTTATATATGATGGCAGAATTCTATCTTTTTTAAGACATCAAAAATAAAATCTTCGAATAGAATTATCGATAAAGTGTCTACATGTAATTTTTTTGACAATTTCAAAGCTGATATACGACGGTTAAATTGGCTACGAAGAAAAAGAACATCATTCTAGCGTTATTTTCTACGACATCCATGAAAATTCGGAACTCTATGATACTTGACATAGTTTCTTCCGAATCAAAGTGTGTCGCGTCTGATGGCAACAGCCATTAGGAACTAACATGTTGCAACGTAACGGTTGATGTAGCTTATGACGCTGACGAGAACTGTAACCCGCACGGCCAAATTTGGCGCACTCAGGTTCACCATGCGGTTCGAAACTACCCACTCTCATTACATGTCGCCGCAGAATGGGCTAATCTGCAGTGTCGCCCAATGAATCGTCAAATCTGTCGCCTGGCGCAAAATCACCAGAAATGACCGCAGTGATTCAAATCTATATTGGTTTTAAGGAAAGACCACCTCTCTTTCATCCCTTGTTAAATCGGCCAAGTCAGGGAAGATTTAAAAACAGGACAGAGAATTATGAGTGAAAATTATGAGGAAAAGAGTGAAACGCTAAACAAGAAGGAGATAAGGAGATAACGTAAGGAAGAAAGAGAGACAAAAAGGACCGGAAGCACTTTCGACGCTGGTGAAGCTTTTCCTGATTTCGGGAAAGTTGGATAACGGCAAACCGATCGTAATGGTACCGATAAAGACGCTATCGATGACGACGACGCAGAAGCGCGAAGATTCGAATCTATCGGAGACGTTATTTACTCTCCGAAGGCTCTGCCCCTATCTAGTACCTACGCGTCAATTCAACGCCGCCCCTTCCACGTTTTATCCGCTCTTCTATATCAATAGTTCTGATGATAATTGTGGCTGCTAATAAAAAAGCGCGGCAAATTTTTTAGGGCAACGGTACATTCAAACATTTCCGTTTTCCTTCCGCTTCTCACTCCACATGCTTGTGTCGTACTCTCTTGGTTCCGTTTCTACTACCTGTCGACCGGTCTGTAGGAACAATGGACAGGTACCAGAGCGCGCGCGCGCAAGTGAGCGGACAAGTGTCCCGGGAATTACCTATTGTTTTTCCCAGCTCCGAAAACGCGCAGGGACCATCGGGAACATTAATGCCTCTCGTAATAGAGGGAGGCACGTAATACGAGCCGGGAACGCGGCGGCAGATGCTCGCGCGTAATCCTATGTAGTCTCGCCACACGTTTCGAGAGCATCGTCTACACTAGAGGTGGTGAGCGAAATTCGACACTGCTGTAGTTACGATGCGCAGATGCAAAGTACACGAAGCAAAATATACTTTTGTACTCAAGAAACAGATGGATACAAGTCCCAAAGAAAGACGATAGCTTAGTCTCTCAGTGTAAGTCTATGAAAGTTTAAAACCGCGTAAAAACGCGCACTTTCAAGACACATTTTGAATAAATGTAATTAACTTATGTGTAGAGAGAGCACAGATTCTGATATTTACTTAAAAAGCTTTCATCTCTAAAAGTATATGACTTGTTTATATATAAAAAAATATATAAAATATATTTAAAAAATATAAAAAAATATGTAAAAAAATATATTTAAAAAATAGAGCAATTTTTTTTTTTGAGAAAACATTCATACATATGCACGAATAAACTGGCAATAATTATTGTCTCTTTTAGATTTGTTTCCATTCTAAAATGTACGCGTCGTTAGTCGCCAGAACTCCCACTGCTTCTTTAAAATGCAAGCCGGATAACATAACTGACTACTCTTGTACCCTCGCGGCTACAGAAGGCTGGGATAAAGGGAAGAAGCCGAGGATATAGAAACAACACAAAATACGAGGATAAAAAACAAAAGATAGTAAAGAGTGACGGAAGGAAAAACGTTTGACCTACCGAGGTCGCTGTTTATGCATACTGTTCAAAGTATACAATGTGTCCTGCTGTTGCGAAATATGTGAATATTTTATCAGAGCTCTCTCCCCTCCGTTGCAAAGTATACAGTACGGAAAGTAAAAACATAAAGAATCTTTCAAAATATTTGATACACCATGTCGCGTTTAGAAATTTAATTATCGCACGATATTGTTACTTTACTTTTATTTTAGAGAAACGCGATCAATAAGCAGCGCGACGAGAACGTAACCTTCTAACAAGTTTCGATAGATATTAATCCCGTAAGGGAGCTTTCCCCGGTGAAAAGTCACGTTCGCTGATCATTTTATGTAGTATATCTAGTATGTTTTTATTTGAACTGGGTCATTGCTAGACTGCCTGGCTCTCCAGGAAGCACTCGTAGAACTCCGGAGGCACTTAAACATCTCGACGATGCCGAGGAGTTTATTGCGTCTTTGACACCGAAGTGCAGTCAAAACCCATCCTCGTCGACGTCGCCGTCGTGGAACTACGATACGCGGCAGCTGCTGCAGTAATGCCGCTTCCGCGTACCTTTCCGCATCGCGACGAAGGAGAATTCGACGGACAGAAGTTGTCGTTAACCGCTGCGCGAGCTTTCGTGATCTGGTAATTCAAAAAATGCGAGAGCTCGCAGTCGAGCACCCGCTCGTTCTGTCCGCATTATCTGTAATATCGTTCGTACCCGTTTGCAGTTATTGATCGTAGCGTTCTCGAAAGAGAAAGAGAGAGCCTCGAAATAAATAATAATTACGCAAAAATGGTGGAAAATACAAACTGGAAAATCTTCGAAATTCACGTTACGTGTATTGTAATTTATTATTATCTCTATATCAAAACCATCATGTTTAATAAAAATAGTCATTAAATTAATCATTAATCATTAATCTAATATTATCTATTAATTAATTATTAAATTAATATTGTCTAGATTGCGAATGCAGATGATCCGATTAGTTTCTTGTTATTTGCCAATCGTACGAGATACTCGCGGAGCTCTTACGTTTCGATTATGTCAGCGCAGAGAATTCGCGTGTTATTATACTTGGATTAAGTAGGAGAACTTCCGCTTCAGAATTTCAAGTAAAACGCTCGAAAGTTAGAGCACCGCGACGGAGTGGCTATTAAGACTGCTTCAAAAGCGCAAACGCCTTACGCTCGAGCTGCAAGCACGTGTGCAACGCTTCATACATGCTCTATCTTTCTTTTTTCTCTCTCTCTCTCTCTCTCTCTTTCTTTCTTCTTCTCTCTCTCTCTTCCTCTTTCCGTATCTCTCTGCGAAGCGACAAATACGTTTGCAAACTGGGTCGCCAAGACGATTATCCCCCTCAGATGTAACTACCATTAAGGTACGGATAGATACGGGCATTATTATCACGCTCGAGAGATTCCGCGGAGTCGTAGCCAAATCGAGAATAGGATACTTTCGATTGCTCGCGACCATCCATTCCCCGGAGTTATTTCTACAAGACTTCCTACATTGTTGACTCGCGCTATTCGCAGTACATACGCAAGCAATAAATCCGTATACCGGTATAAGTTGCCGTTCCACATACGCAACGTTCTACAATTTCCGTAATGCGCTTTTACGAATGTCGAACATTTTGCGGAATAAATTTACGGAGCAACAATGCGAAAGCAACACTATAAGGAGCAAGGAAATACTGAGTATGTCCGCGATACATTGACGTATCCACGATTAATATCTTCTCATTTCGATTATATGATTTCTTCTTCTTACATCGTTAATGCATTTTTGACAATGTAATAAAAATTTATTTTAACAAGTTATTATATCAATTAATCAGGATAAAAAAGGTAAAATTGAAACATGAGAAAAATACATTCCGGAAAGATCCAATCGATATAGGTTCCGATAAAAATTTTTTTTCGGATATCAACCACGGCGAAAAAGTGGTCGGAGAAAGTGGAGCCGTGCGGAAGAGTTTACAGCTGATTGCCGTGAAATTTATAGCGGATAAGAAACGAGGATGCTTGGAAAATCTTCGGAAACATTACCAAATCGGCGCACGTGAGCGCGAGTAAGTCGCGCCAACAAAGAAGGTGGAAATGTTATATAAAGGTGGAAGGTGGAAGACAGTGGGAACGCGCGAGATGAGGAATCGAGCGGGAGCGAAAAAATATCCTATGAATTCGTGAGTGACTTCGGATATCACGTTCGGTCCCGCCTGGCGAAGATTTTCCACGACTTTGTAGTCCGCGATATATCCGGAGTCCGCTTGCAAGTTTAAACCACACACCTTGCGTCGTACGTGTTGCAAATGTATTCCACGCATAACGCGCAAAGATTCTCCGCACATGCCGCTGTACTATGGTTGCTGCAATTTTTTAGAGCGGCCCCGCAAAATTTAAATTTCGGGATGTCACGATTTTATTCGTTAAACACGTCCAAGCTTAACAAAGCTTGTCAGTATATGTATTAATTGAAAAAATTGATTGATATAATTTATATTTCAAAAAATTCTTTTCATTTATCGTATGAATGTGAATTCGTAAATATTTTGTAAATTTCGTCCTATAATTTAGATCCATCAGCTCGATAACTTATATATTTTATTAACCCAATAAGTATTATCTTTATAGAGGCCCTGATCCTAAATTACAAATTCGACGGGGAATTGGTGCCATTAAATGTAATTCAAAATGTGCCAGCGTAATTAGTGGGTTGCGATGAAAACGCATAGATCGTACCGATTAAATATCTATGTTTCAATTTATGCTCGATTTTCATGCATAGCTATCGGAAAACGTAATTACGCTTATGACATTTAATGCAGAGTTATGTAATTACACGTCGAGCTTTGTACCCGTAATATATCATGCGAAGTCTAGTCAAACATGCATAATCGCTTACGTCTTTATCCAACGGTTATTTGATCATCCTATTTATCCCGACTTCGTATTCTGGCGATGATGCGCCTCCTCTCAGCCTCTCAGCCTTCAGCCTCGATTCCCCTGTAACGAAATAAAAACTGATTAGAAGGGTCAACGATATCATGTTTAATTTCACGCGATAAAATTAGCGAAAATGTATTATTCCTCTCTAAAAGGATTAAATATTCACGCATCAAAATGATATGAAACACACATACACGTGCATGCCTACGCATAGCAAAACCACAAATTGGATGCATAACCGCGAACGAGTAATCATTATACCTTCATCGTTTCAAAGTACAAACATCCGATGATCATTATTCGATTAATATACCAGAGAAATTTGAATCGCGCTCGCGATTCTGTTATCCCGATAATTTCACGCATAGAGATGACAGAGATAAAATAAAACTCGGGGCTTTCAACTTTAGACTCTGGCGAATCGAAGCGAAACGCGTTTTCGAGAAAGGAACGAGCCCGGGCGTTATTCACGAGTCCGTCGAATATCGACAATCTCGTTCGCGCAAACTTTACAGGAATACTCGCAAGATTCTTGCGCGACGTCGCGACGGCGTGTACTCTGCTGAAATTAAAATCGATACTTGTGCAGAAAGAGGGATAGAAAGAGAGAGAGAGGGAGAGAGAAATAGAGAGAAAAATAGAGATAACGTTTGGATTTTACTTCTCTCGCTCGCGTTTATAAAGCCGTGTAAAATCGCCGAAGAAGGGAACGTTTGGATAAATAATCATTCTGCAGAGTGCGAGTCTTCTGCGTCGGGGAGGAGAGGAGGGAGAGGGAGAGGGAGGGGGGAAGGGAGAGAAACGCCCGATAAGGTGGGCGAATAACGAAGTGGAAGAAGCGAGTCGTAAAGCAGCGGGAATAAATAGTCGAGCGTCAAGTCGGCGACCGAAGTTTGCGAATGCGCAAATCCTGAGGGAAGTCTTAAACGAGAATTCCGCGTGATCGTCTCCCCTCTTCCTCCTCCGATTCCGCGCATTCTTCGTATAATTATTTTATCGTTACAAAACGACATCGTCGCGCTGAAAGTCTGCAATTTCGTTCGATGAATCGATCATTTCTCATTGCATTTATTTAATATATAAATATGATAAATAAAGAAATGATCTATTCAACACATTCCCATAGTTGATGAAAAAAAATAATCAAAAATAGATTAGAAAGAATAAAAAAGATGTTAATAATATAATCGCTGTCCAATAAAAAAGAAATAAAAAGTGGAGATTTCGAGAGCGCATAAAATGTACGATCTTATGCTATGTGACAATACCTAGATATGATTTCTAAAAGAAAAAATGGTGGTACTCGCACGTAAATGTTCGGCAAAGTTTACTCATTGATGTTCCCTTACTTGAGTGTTCTAAAACGAAGAAAGTTGAGCGGAATTCTGAATGGAGGAAGGTGCGAAGCCGCCTCGCGAGAATAAGTGGCGAAATGCTTGGCCAGAATTTACGAGCAATACTTTTCTACCGCAAATTCTCCGGATATTCGTGAATACCACCGCATCCCCGAAATCGCAGTTTTGTATACTTAATATAGTTCTGTCCCCTCTTATATCTGGCATATAATTGTGTTCTTTTTTTAAGAAAATAAACTGCAGAATAATCCGGAATAATGATAGCTTCTAATTGCTATAAACAAAGTATAAAAATTATGTAAAAAGAAATATATATGATAAAACATTCCAGCACTCGTTTTATATATAGTGTATTAAATTAATCTAGACTCTGTTTTTTTAAATGTCAATATACGAAATTTGTGTTTTCTCGAGAAAAATTCCAATGCGACGAATTTTTACGAGATTGTCTTCCATTGACTTCGTAATTTTTATGTTTACGCACTCTGAGGGAGGAGCATTTTTCTGGAGTGAACTACTTCGTTCCGATGGGGCGGGGTATTCCTTTTATGAGAGAATCCCTTGCAACGGCGTACGCCGTAGACGCGATATTCATACGAATAACATTCAGTTTCCCGGCCGTCACGGAATTTATGAGAAAGACGAACCGCGGATCGGCAAAAAGGAATTGAGAGACCGGCGATAGGAATAAATAGCGGAATATATTTGACGCGACAATTTCAGTTTACGACTAATACATCCTGAAGGAAATCTTGAACGTCAATATATATCCGCGCATCTCACATCCGTTTTCTATGCTCGCTCTCTCGAAAATGGTTTTCTTGCGCAAATAATTCTGAAAATGCTCTATTGTTCGCGTTTAAGAAAGATTAAAGCAGCACTTCTCTCATATAAACAAGATTTTATTTAATACACTTGTCCGCAAATTAAAAATTGTTTTTCTATACTCTATTTGTATGTGTATTAAATAGATTTATAAATATATTTTAAGTATAAATGTACAACACACACACAAACACTATATATATTCATCAATAAAACATCGTACTACAAATACTATCAAAAGAAGAGCATCATTATCAGCAAGTCTAGCACTCTAATAACAATAGCACTGAATTATATAAAGAATGCACAATCCTCCTTTATATAACGTAAATAAATGGACGAGAGAAGAATATATATTATGTTGTGTTTGGAAATTTATTTCGTTGAAATGTCCGCGCAAAAAAAAATACGATAAAGTAGCTTTTATTTTAAGACAAAATTACAGGATAAGAACTTGAAAATATTATCTGCATTCTAATTTTTGTTATAATTCTTCTATTAAATAATTTGTACAATAAATGTACGTAGAAAAATGTGATGGAAAACCAGTCACAGGAGTAATTAATTTTTCTGTTTTGAGGTACATACCCTTGTAGAGCGCAGAACGTTTCTCCATTCGCGCAGCTAACTTTTATTTTTCTTCTCATTTCATCTTGATTCTTAAGCGTCGTTTTCTACTTTACGCGGAAGTGACAGCGAAAAAGAAATAAAATACCGAAAATGTAACCTAAGTATTATATACCGTGGAAAGAGGAGAGAAATTCGCTGGATGACGGTAACGCGAGCTTCGTCTAGAAAATAGAGACTTAAGACGAAGTCCGGGAGTTATAATTGCCAACGCGACACTTTCTGTCGAGGAGCAAGAGAAAGAAAAAAAAGGGAACCAGATAAGATAAAACGTTTTGTCCGTGCATAAAAGTCTAATGACACGCATGACGTGTGATAGTGAACAGAAATAACGGTTACGTAGATCGTAGATAATAAAAATATACGATAGACAAGGAAAGAGAAAGAGCTCAATGGAAAGCCCGATTCATTCAATACAACGCTGATAAGTCAATCAGCCCTTTTCAAATTTCCGACCGGCTCTTTTCTCGTTCTTGGTCGAACGCGCGCGCAGGACAAATAATGAAAAAATAAAAATCATTTTTTGTACACTACTAATCTGGGCCACTCTTTTGTTCTCGTTTGCACAACCGGCGACTGTAATTGTGCTCTTCCGGACCGGCTTGACGACTAACCGTAGCTTTTACAGTGACCGATATGACCGGTTTTACGAGTTTTCATTCGTACAGCGACCCAGAGGAAACTAGTCGCGGAAGCTGTTAAGCTGTGAACGAGCTAAACGCCGATCTAAATCTTGTCGACCACGCCGAGGAGAAGCGTGCAATAATTGATACCTGCTGCAGATAAAATTTTCTATATCGCACGCGAGAGCATTTACGACGTGCTCATGTCTTTTACGTGATGATACGACCGAAGGAATTTAGCGGATTAGATAAGAAAACGTCTCGCCTTGGATGCGAGACCTAGCGCATTTAAAATCAGTAAAGACGTTTTGATCTTCATCTATAGATCGTCATAAAATTTTTGATGTGTGCAAGGATTATTAAAAAAAAAAAAAAAAAAAAAAAAAAATCCAAGTCATTAAAAATTTTAAAAAAGGATTATGTCAGAAAATCATTTTTCAAATTTAATAATTTTATTAGATAAAAAATAATATCCCTTTTTTATTGCAAAAAAACATAGAGCAAAAAAAAGTTGCGCTTAGATTGATGCAACGCTGAAAACGGCACTGTTAGCCGCAGAAAATCGACGCGCGAATTTGCGTCGCAAAAACTTTTATCCCAGGGATTCCGTAATTTCATCCTTGTTGTACCGCGAAACAGAAACGACGCGTCTGAACCAATAATAATTAAAGAACAAAACTCATACCGGTTGCGCGGTGCGCAGATACAAAAAATATTTGCGTTAAATTCAACGAACGAGAAAAATAACACGAGAAAAATAACAAAAACGCAGCACGCTGACGATATGTTTGCATTCGATTCTTTACGAGCTCGTACACAAGCTTCGAAATAATATTGTTTGTAAAAAAATAAAAAAAACGGATTCAAAATCGATAAATTCGTATCCGATATCGATATAAAAAAATATCGTCCTTTTCAGATGTTCCCGAAATCCGATATTACTATGTGAGATCGGATAGTTTTTTATGACACAGTATATATTTCTTTAAGTGTTATATTCATATCTATATAAAATTCTATTTCTACTGAGTACTTTGCCAAGTAATAAAATAGTAATAAATTGCGTATGTGTATATACTATGCCAGTGCGATTAAAAAGAAATGTCGCATTATGAAGAGAGTACATTCACCCTGCCGTAAAGTAACTTAGCTTTACGATGCATCAATCTCGAAATCAACGATCCATTAAAGATGTAATGCAACGCAACGTACTTAAAAACTTGTTTTATGTCGAGAAGAATCGATTTTTAAAAAACACCACCGTCACTTGAGCCGTATTACGTTGCTTCTTTCAGTCAAGTCGCATTCTTAATTAGCAAGCATCCACATTCGTCGAAGACAACGGAGAGACTTCGTTAATGAAACGCCTAAGGCAATGTCAAACGCGAAGAAAACTGGCGGAGGTTACTCGATACGTCGTTCCAAGCTGAGGATATTCGCGAAAAGTTAACAGTCTGATAGAACGGATGGCATATTAAATTCATCAATACAGGAGTGTATGTTTCACGCGCGCAAAAAACAGCAGATCCCCGTATTTTTTTTTTGCGACAGGAATATTAATTTTTGTACTGGGATATATATTTAATTTCTATTTTACGCGAAAAGAGAATTAATATTATTAATTTTT